AAAGTCATCAGGTAGATTTCAGTGGTAATGTTTATCACCTCTACTAATTAACATGAAGCAAATTTTTATGCTTCAAAAGGGGAGGGGGATGCTAGAGGGACCGTTCAGCAGTTAAGAGCGTTTACTGCTCTTCCAAGGAACCAGAGTTCAGTTCCCAGTACCTTTATTGGGAGACTCACAACTGCCTAGAACTCCAACTCCAGAGGATCCAACGTCCTCTTCTGGGTTCCTCCAGTACCCAGATACAGGGTATATGCACACACGGAAAAACACATAAATACACATAAAAATAAAGCTTTCCAAAAAGTTTTCAAAAAAAGCTTCAATATCATACTTAATCATTAAAAATTTCCCCAACATCTTTTAAAATTCTATTTTCTAACAGGCGCTCCCTTCAACGTAACAGCCCTAAAGTCCCAGGGTATGTGAGGCCAATAGGCCCAGTGGAAGCAGCAGCTACAGAGTGCTCCAGACATGTACGTCAAAGAATATCTCATGCTCGGCAAGGAAATGACAGCAACTCACACTTCCTGGTAAGTCCCACAAGGAGAGAAAATATCACAGATGTGCAGCATCTGGATCGTTTAGTAAGCATGTACTGAGATTTGGCAAACCACTTCCCAGATTAGGAAATAGTTTCATGATGTTAATGTGATCAATGATAAACTATAGGAACGTATATTTTCCATCAAAGAAGACTACATTATTTTTGTCTTTTGAAACAGTCTTAGTAGCCCAGGGTGGACTGGAACTCTCTATGTAGCCCAAGCTGGGTTGGAGCTTGAAGGAGACCTCTAGTCTCTGCCTACAGAGTAGTGGGATTACAGGTGTAAGCCACCATGCCAAGCTAGGGCTGTGGTTATTACATAAAATTTGGAAAAGCAGAAAAAAATGAAAATAAAAATAATCTATATATTCATCATTAACATTTTGATATACTTCCTTTTAGATGTTTCAGCCTATATCATGCTTTGAAATGTGTTGATTACACTGTTAAACATCAATGTAAATTATTTTCCATTTCTATAACTCTTCCAAAATTGATAGAACACTATTAGTTTTATGTTTATTGGACATTTATTTCCAATTTTTACTGTAATTTAAAATTTACTATTAAAATTTTCATTTATTGTTCTTTGTATATAGTTACCAAATTATTTCTCCGGAACACATTTCTACAGTTATGTCACCAAAATATCACTGAAAATATTTTTAAGATTCTTCATGCTTATTGCAAGACTACCTTTAAGAAAGAAATATCAGATTATACTCCCAAAAATGCAAGTCCTTGGCTCACTTAAACATTGTAAGGCTAAGACAGATTATTGTCATGCTCTAATTTTGACAGTTTTGAAAGAAAATAAAATATTACACTCACCTTAATTTAAATTTCTCTAATTGAGTGAAACTTTCCCCCAAATACTTTAGAAGGCAATTGCCTTTTGCCCCCATGTCAGTCTGCCTCTCTCTGTCTCTGTCTCTGTCTCTCTCTTCCTCTCCTCCCACTTTTCTTTGTTTTAACCATATATTTAAACTTCGTACTTTTACCACTTGACTTCTTAGTTGTTTCTTTCAGTCTTATTTATAATGTGACTTGCTATGTGGAATTTTCTAATTCTCGTGAAAATATTACCAATTTTTTCCTTTGTAGTTTCTTAAAATTTTAGACTTAGAAAAAGCCCTCCAATAAGAAACCAAATGATTCCTTTTTAAAATGGTATTTTCTTAATTATTTGAGCAGTTTTTACAATGTATTTTTGTCATACTCACAGCCCCATCTTCTCCTAAGTCCACCCCTCTTTTCACACACACCCCCGCAATTTTATGTTTTTTTAAAAAAGGCCCATCTAGTCCAATTTGTTCTGCCAGTATACTCATGGGTGTGTGGCCAACCCCCAGAGCATAGTCAGCCTACCAGGCGCCACAGTCTTGAACAAAACTGATTCTCCCTCTTCTAGCAGCTACCAATTGGCAATAGCTCCTTTGCTAGGGCATACCCACCTCCTTTCTCCATGCTGGAATGTTTATTTGGTTGACCTTGTGCAGGTCTTGTGCATGCTGTCACAACTGCTGTGACTTCATCTAAGTACCTGCCCTGCACTGTCCAGAAAACACTGTTCCCTTGCAGTCATTCACCACCTTTGGCTCTTAAGATCCTTCTGCCCCCTCCTGTCCCACAGTGTTCCCTGAGCCTCTCCTGGAGGGGATGTGATACAGTTGTCCCACTTAGGGCTGAGCATTTTGCAGTCTCTTACTCTCTGTACTTTGACTAGCTGTGGCTGTATTAATCACCATTTACTGCCAAAAGAGGCTTCTCTGATGACCATTGAAAGATGCACTAATCTGTGAGTCTAATGATAAGGCATTTGGAGTTGGTTTAGGTTCTGTAGACCTCCAAACATTACAGGCTATTACCAATGTTGTTGTTTACCCTCCAGAACTTAACAGTAAGACCTTATTGTTGAAGACACCACATACTTGAATCATAGAACATGGAAAACTAATTCTTTTCCTGTATTTTATTTTAACATACTTTCTCTTGACATTTAACTTTGAAATCTATCTGGATTTTATTTTGACGCATAAGAGATGATAATTTCCTACTCCTGTTTTTTGTTTAAATAATCTTTTCCTTTTTAATATCTGCCTCGTAGCTCCTTTTAGTTACATACAATATTTTCAACATTTGAGGATGTGTTTTACTGTTTCCCATTTATCTCAACTGCTTTTCATTTTATTTTTACATGAGAACATTATTTGATGTTCTAGCTTAAAGATACCTATTCATGTATTATAGATTCACTTTTATTTTTCAATCACTTGAGTAAGGCATGATTGATGCATTAAAATGGCATGTATTTAATATGATGAATGTAAGGACAGGCATATACCCATGAAACCATTTTCTCCATCCTGGCCATAAAAATACTCATCATTCCCAAAGTTTCTGCTCAATTCCATTGCTATTATACAACCTTTTCCCATATACTATCATATGCCCATTTCTCGCCCCCCCCCTTTTTTTTCTATTTTTGATACAGGGTTTCCCTGTAGCCCCAACTGGCCTGTAACTAGCTATGGTATTTTTAAATTTTTATTTGTTTATTTTTATTTTATGTATAAGAGTGTTTTGCCTATATAGTAAGTGAACCCATGTAGTGCAATGCCTGCAGAGGCCAGAAGAGGTTATCAAATCCTCTGTAACTGGAGTGACCAATGATTATTAGCCACTTGGTTATTAGCCACCATGTGGATTTTGAGAATTGAACCTGGGTCCTCTGGAAGAGCAGTGAGAGCTCTTAACCACTAAGCCATCTCTCCAGCCTCATTTTTATTTTACTTTTTATTTTTTATTTTTATTTAATAACCACATGATTAGAAGAAGCATTTCATTACAACTTTAACATATTCAATAACAATTTCCAGAGCAAAGATACTCTCTTTCAAAAGTGGCTGTAAATTTTTAGATTCACAGTTGAATAAATACAATATTGAACTCTATAGAAACCCTATAAGACATAAAATTGACTAAGGTTTTAACCTTTAAAAAAGATCTTCATTTCACTTTTAAAATATACTGTTTCCTACAGAAAGACTCATTTTTAATGCTACTAACACTTAGATGTTTGCATATGTGTCTCTAATTTCTATGTATCTGATTATTACTAGTCATAGTTTGCTATACTCGGATTCTTGGCACCTGAGTATGGATATAAAGTCATCAGGTAGATTTCAATGGTAATGTTTATCACCTCTCCTAATTAACATGAAGCAAATGTTTATGCTTCCTCCTCAAATATAACTTTTTTATTTTTTTTAATGTGTGTATTTCATTCAGAACATCCCAATCATTCATCTATATACCCACTTCCCAAATGGCACCCTCCCAATAGCACCCCCCCCCACTGGAGCCCATACACTGTGTCATCCCTGTTACTGTCCAATGTGTTGGCAGCATCCCCAGCTGTTCCCCAGTGCTTGTCCATCCACTGAATCTAGTCAGCCTACCTAGAGTTCCTTGTTTTAGGAAGATCAGCTCTTCCTCATCTAGCAGCAGTCAGTTATCAATGTGCCTGTCTGGGAGTCTCTTGTGCTACCCTGGCCAACAACTCAAAGGAAGGTATCTCCTGTCTGGCATTGTTTCTTGTTATTTAGCCTTTTGCTATACATATTGACTCTGAAAAAATTATATTGACTCCTTTAATCTTTGGTTATACTTTCCTTTTGAGTGTTTAAGGCAATACAGTTGGCCCAGATAAATGAATTTATTTTTACTTTTAAGGCCGTTTGAGGATCTGTTCCTCGGGGGTCACATGGGCTTGGGAGGAGGCCCTGGCTCCTTTCTTTCACCAGTTCTATTGATATAAAGATACGTCAAAGGTCCTGCTCAACCATGGCTGGCTTGGCTTGGAAGCATGGAGGAAATGTTTCCTCTGTGTTGAACCTTTTCTTTGTAGGCTAGACACTAGTTCAAGTGCATTTTATGGGGTCTCCATGGCCTCCTTGATTAAGAGGACAGGCGACTCACCACAGTTATAGGACATCTTGAGAGATGCTCATAGTTCCCTGGAACTTAGTTGATCTAGGAGGGCAAGGAGCAAAAGCTGTCTTTTATGTCCCTCTGACCAAATTAGTATAGGCCTCAAAGTATAGTTGTTAAACATCCAAGAAGGTTAGTTCCATCAGTCTGGTACTTTTAATTACCATGTGCCATGTAGATAAAGCTTGAGCAAGGACCAAACGTTCTCAGATAAACCTTGCCTAGACATATATTATCTTTTTTCTGATTTAAAAAAATTATTTATTTTTTAAAAATTTTATGTGTATGTGTGTATTGTGTGCATGTAGGTAAGTACACCTGTGTCGTGCAATGCCCGCAGAAGACAAAAGAGGCTGTCGGATTCCCTGGAACTGGAGTTATGGATAGCTGTTAGCTGCCATGTGGATGCTGGGATTTGAACCCTGGTCTTCTGCAAGAACAGTGTTCTTAACTGCTGAGCCATCTCTCCAGGCCCTCCTCTGGTTTTTTTTTTTTTAAACTTACTGAGCATTATTCTCTCTCTCATTATCTAACCCTTCAACCATGGTTTCTCCGTTTAAGATGTCCCCATTTTTTCCCATTTCTCCCTTAATAATAACCTTCTATGGTCCCACCTCCCTTAAGCTCCTTCTTTCCTGTTATCTCCTAGGTCCCCTGTATAACCTTCCCTCCTCCCTCCCCTTAAAATAACCCCATTTTTATCCATATCTCCCTTATTAATGCCTGTTTCCTACTGTTCTTCTCTTTCAGGTTGTTTCTTTTCCTTTATCTCCCTGTTTCCTTTTCATTATCCTGGTTCCTGTAGTTATGTCTGGATACATACTCATTTATCAGGATTTGGTGCTAGGATCCACTTATGAGGGAGAACATATGTTGTTGTTTTTCTAAGTCTGTGTTACTTCACTTAGTATAACAGTTTCTGGTTCCATCCATTTACCTGCAAATTTCATGATTTCGTCTTTCTTTACTGCTGAGTAAAACTCCATTGTATAA